CTTCCCCAGACAGGCTAGTGGCACCTCCTGTGTGCCTGGATGGCTGGTGGCACCTCCCGTGTGTATTCCATTTTTTTTAAATTTTTATTTATTTATGATAGTCACACACACAGAGAGAGAGAGAGAGAGAGAGAGGCAGAGACACAGGCAGAGGGAGAAGCAGGCTCCATGCACCGGGAGCCCGACGTGGGATTCGATCCCCGGTCTCCAGGATCGCGCCCTGGGCCAAAGGCAGGCGCTAAACCACTGCTCCACCCAGGGTTCCCCGGTGTGTATTCCAAAACCTCTGTATCTGCATCACAGATGTGTCCTGTGGCCAGCCTGGCTGCCGGGCCTCCCTCTGTCTGCAAGTCTTCCCCTGGTCCTGCCCTGTGAGGGCACCCAGGCCCCACCCTGCTCAGGAGGGGGCAGGTGGTCTCGGTCCCCATTACTGACTGCCCTGCTTTTCTTTGTTTCAGACACTGCTCAGATTCAACGCCATGCTAAGGAAGCTGCTCATTATCTTTCCACACTTCTGCCTGGGCCGGGGCCTCATTGACCTGGCACTGAGCCAGGCTGTGACAGATGTCTACGCCCGGTTTGGTGGGTGGCATTCGAGGCCTGTGGAACATGGCCCTACATCCTCTGCGTGTGGGAGGGCTTGCAGCCTGTGCTGGGGCCGGGGGACACCTGGTTGGTCTGAGAGTGTCCTGCCCAGAAGGGATCAGCTGCCTCTGCCTCTTTGTCTGAGGAGCCCCAGGAGGTGTCACGAGCAGGCTCCTACTCATCCCTACTCTGATTAGAGACACCAGGATGAAGAGGGGTTCTCAGCTGTCGCTTACTCCTTTGCATAGGCCTGGTCCAGCTGGGCCAAATGTTGTAACTAGGTCTTTAGGGAAAGCTGGGGCAGCTGAGTGGACTTAATTCCTGTCCCCAGGTGAGGAGCACTCTACAAATCCATTCCAGTGGGATCTGATTGGAAAGAACCTGGTTGCCATGGCAGCAGAAGGGGTGGTGTACTTGCTTCTGACTCTCTTCATCCAGCACCACTTCTTCCTCACCCGATGGTACGTTCAGGCCACTGCCCTAAGGATGCCAACAGGAGCTCATTGCATCTGTCCAGGGACTTGGCTTCACATCCATGTAGTCATCTCTTCTCCCACTAGCCCCACTCCATATGGGTTTTTACACCCTTAAAGCTTGGTTTGTTCTGAATTACACAAGGAGAGAGAGTAAAATAGACTCATTGGAATTTATGAATTCCAACTTATTGGAATTCCAATTCCAAATTATGAAATTTAGAAATTATGAAGAATTTAAACTTTAAAGTATTTAAAATACAGGTTTTTTTTATTTTAGTCACTAATATTTAATCCCTCTCACTTCATTAACAGATACTCATTTTAAGTTGGATAATAGCCTTGCAAATGATAATGGTTAAGGGAGATCCAAAGTACTGGGAAATTCATGCATTCACAAGAAAATAGACAAAGTGGGCCCCTTTGCTAATTAGAGATTTGAGAGTGGAGACAGGGAGTAATATCATCCCTTGGGGTTATATCCAAGGCGGCTAAAGCCAGGGGCAGTTGTGAAGGGTGAGGGGCAGTGATTGTGCCCCCCTGAGGCGGGAGGCAGAGGTGGGCAGTGACTGCCAACTGTAACCCAGCCCAGCAGTGCCATTCTTCCCTGGCTTCTTGACCCAGGCTTTGCCTCATTCTGACACAAGACCCCAGGTTTCCAGAAGGCTGTCCCTCTGCCATCCAGGCTGAGCTTCACTAGGGCTCTGCACAGGGCTCTGAACTGCAAATCACTGGGTCCTTAGAACACGCTTTCCTGGACGGTGTTTTGTTCCTTATCTTTTCGTCCTCTCAGGCTGAGTCTGGCTATATGCAAATAAAGATTCAGAGGACCTGTTTTAGGTTTTGATCCATAGGGAATCAAGTTACTAGAAACGAATCTACCTCCCTACTCACAAGGTTGTGAGGATTTAACGAGATAATAGGCATCAACACACTTGGAATAAAATGATGTGACCGTGAAGTGGTGCTAGTTATGGGGGACAGTGTGAGGAATTGATGTCCATGGGACACTCAGCCCTCACAGGCCCCCCTCTGTGCCTTTGGCCACATCTTGAAGAAACCTTGCGGTAGGAGGGAAGAGGCAGACTTATTTACCAAAACTCATTAGCTTCAAATTCTGATGTCAAACAATTGAGCAAGTCTGGCCACTTGAGCCTGAAACAGCACCGGAGGATCATTCGATGATCTCTGGCTACAGGAAGCCCACAGCCATGCTGAGAGGCAACCAGGTAAAGAGAAGAAGGGAAGGGCAGAAGAAAGGGTAATTTTGGTAGAGGACATGCTAATGGGAGGAGTTCAGGATGGCTGTGAAGGGGGAAAGTGAGAGGGATGAGTGAGAGAGGAGCCTGGAGAGGTAAGCAGAGCCAAGTCCTGAAGTGCCCTCACCTTGGTGAGGACTTCAAGTTTAAGCCTGAGGGCAGCAGGGAGCTGTTGGGGTGTTTTACTCAGGCAGGTAAATGATCTGCCAGGACTAGAAGCAGAGAGACCAGGCAGGAAGCCGTGTTGGCACCCAAGCAAGAGTCAGCGGTAGCTTGGGTAGGAGTAGGGGTGAGGGGAGATAGAGAAAACATAGGTCAATTGGATAAATGGTAGGACAAGATTTAGAGATGAATCAGATGAGGCCAACAAGAGAGGAAGGAAAGACGATAGGCCAAGGTGGTCGGGAAGGGTTTCAGAAAGAGGCTGTGTCTTTAAGGATGAGGAGGCTTCTGTCTGTCAGGGCAGGAGGAAGAGAAGGCTGCAGCACTGGAAATGCCTGCAGAGGCTGGGAATCAGGGAAGATTAGCAGGGGCTGGGGACCAAGCTTGATCAAATGGTTGGGAGAGGAGTTAGTTCAAGAGATAAGTGGGAGACGGGTGACGTTTACTGAGTGCTTACCATAGATGAAGTGTTTTAGTTATGATAACAGCTGCCAGGATTTGAGTTCTGACTCTGTGTCAGAGGCTGTGCCAAGTTCATCTTCTCCACAGTCCTGTGAGGTAGACACTGTTATCCCCTCCCTACCGAATGGCTGAAGGAGGTGAGGTTTAGAGGTTCAGTGACATGCCCAAGGTCATGCCCCTCCCTACCGAATGGTTGAAGGAAGTTGAAGGAGGTTTAGAGGTTCAGTGACATGCCCAAGGTCACACACAGAGAGGCCAGGACTGGAAACCAGGGACACTGCGCACCAACACAGTCCTGTCTCCTTTTCTTCCTCTAGGGTTTCTGAGCCTGCTAAGGAGCCCATCATAGATGAAGATGATGATGTGGCTGAAGAAAGACAAAGAATTATTAGTGGGGGAAATAAAACTGATATCTTACGGCTAAATGAACTAACCAAGGTAAGGAACTAGGTATAGATGACTGAGGTTGGCAGGGCCAGTTGAGTCCAGAGATGGCACAACATTGTAATTTTCCTTTTGTAGAATAAGCAATATTACCTATGCAAGCAATTCATTTTCCTAATTTTATCTAAGATTGTCATCACTGTGTTGTAATTTGCCTCCTAAGAACTCCTAATTCCAGTGCATTCTCTGTAGCGTTTATCTAGGGCACCAGCACAGGGCCCAGTATGAGCCCTTATGACTGAGCCTCACTAATCCTTCTCCCCTCCATCTCTGCACAACCGTGCAGTGTCCTGGGGCTCACAACACCTCAGTGAACACTCGCCAGTATATAGTAACCTCGTCGTGTCGGTAGTTCTCACCTCAACTGTCCTGTGCTCCTGCTCTCTCCTCTCTTCCCTCTCTAACCCTCTCTCAGTTCTCAGTCCAGTTTCTCTGCATCCTGCAGATCTATTCAGGCACCTCCAGCCCAGCAGTGGACAGGCTATGTGTCGGAGTCCGCCCTGGAGAGGTGGGTACCCTGCAAAATCCTGTGCATGCCTCTTCTCCCCGCTAAAGCAGAGCTATCTCAAAGAAATCAAATGTAACCACATAGGTCACTTTAAATTTCCTAGCAGCCCCATGAAAAAAGTAAAAAAAAGAAAACAGATGAAATTAATCTTGATCTTTTACCCAATATATCAGAAATATTGTCACATCAACATGTAATTTATATAAAACATTATTGATAGAATATTTTGCATTCTTTTTTTTAAGTTTTCAAAATCCAGGGTGGTTTTACACATACAGCACATGTCAGTTCAGACTAGATGCATATCAAGTGCTCAGTGGTCATTGTAAGGGAGGAAAATCTACCCTTCTGGGTTCTCTTGGTAGGGCTTTGTAAATTGGACTGATGGAAGACAGATTAAGAAGAGAAAAGCAAACAGACATTTATTAACATGTGCATGGCACATGCACAAAGGAATGATCAGAAATAAATGACACAAGCAGTGGTTAGAACTTGGGCTTATGTAGCTTCTTGACAAAGGAATGATACATTTTTAGAGAAGTGACATGACAAAGGAAAAGGACCATAAGTCAGTAGGGGTGGCAAATTATAGAAAGGCAAATATGGGGTAAACTAATGCTAAATAAAGACTAGTTAGTAAAGTCTGCTATGTAGATACCTCTGGCACTGTCTCCAGACTCTAAAGTTGCTACTGGCAGTTAACTTTTGCTCTTCCTGGTACAGAGGGCAAGAGGGGACACCTTATAAATTTATGCCCCACTTTTAGCCAAACAGGGAAGGGAAGAGATCTTTTCTTGTATCTGCTACTTCTTAATTCCCTTCAGCTCAAAGTCATCCTTACACCAAAGTAGCATAGCCTATTCCATACATGTCTAGTGGCCTCGGTAATGGCAGCACAAGTCAAAAATGTTTCCCACCTACCCATACCTGACAGTCTACACTCTTTGGGCTTCTTGGGCTCTAGGATGAGGCCATTTCTGTGTCTTCTCCCTCAGTGCTTTGGTCTTCTGGGAGTGAATGGAGCTGGCAAAACAACTACATTCAAGATGCTTACTGGGGACACCACAGTGACCTCAGGTGATGCCACTATAGCAGGCAAGAGGTGAGTGTCCTGCTCATCCCATCTCAGGGTGTCTCTCCCAGGCCCAGGGCCATGTTCCCATCGCAGCATAAGGAGAATGAACGTGAGACCCTGCACTGAGGATGACTCTGAGTGCATGGAAGATCTGTGCAGAAGAGTAGGCCTCTAAGAGAGCACGGTCCAGAAAGCACAAGACGTAGACTGTCTGGAAAATTGAATTGAATTATGACTGTTAAGACATGCCCCTGTAAGCATGGGTTCTTGGAAACTTCTGGAAAGCACTAAGTCAGTGGTTCTTAGTCTTTTTGGGGTTATAGACTCCTTTGAGCATCTGATGAACACTTGTACTTTCTTCCTTTTTTTTTTCTTCCTATAAAAATAGACCATTATTGGGGCACCTGCCTAGCTCATTTGGTAAAGCATGTGACTCTTGATCGTGGGGGTTGTAAGTTTGAGCCCCACACTGGGTGTAGAGATTGCTTGAAAAAATAAAATCTTAAAAATACACACACATACACACACACGCACACACGCACACACACATGCACACACACCATCATCCCCCATTATCTCCCTCCATACATTTTTGCAAAGAGTTTAAAGGAATTTACTGAGGCCTGAAGTACATTTATGATCCTGCAGGATCCCTGGGTCCCAGGTTAAGAACCTCTGTGATGAAGCATCCTTTCTCTGGTTTGAGTTTCTAGATGGGGGCTGGTTCAAGAGCCTTCAGGGACTTTAGTCTGATTTGGCTATTTCTGTGCTGACGCTTGGCTTTGCCAGGCTAAGGAGCCTTTATAAAGGAAAAACTGGCATGTGTCCTTGGATTTTGGAAAGTGCCTGCTGCTCTCTGTAATAAGGCGTGAGTAAACAGACTGGTCCTCTGTGGCACAGGGTCAGGAATGTGAGCCTATGCTGCTTGCCACTTTCCAGGCTGCTCCCTGAACAGCAGAGCCCATAGGCATTAGAAGTGCCTGGAGGAACCCTCTGCCCTGGTTTATAAGTAGAGTTAGGCAGTGCTGACTTTTGCTCAGCATCTGCCTGACTGAGGCCTCCTTCCCTCACCTGGGAGCCATCCTCAGCAATATGCCTGCAGGTTCACTGGACATGGCTCAGACAGGATGAATTTGGTTCTCTGATCTTCCCCATCCATCCCTGTTGGGTCTGCTTGCAAAGGAACAAGCAGCAGTGAAGTCAGGCCGTGGACGAATCTGTCTCATCTGCAGATCCAGCTTAGCCTACAACCAAGAAAATAATTTGACAGTGGTAGCAAAAGGCATCTTGAGGGACCAAAGAACGGCAGGCAGGAGGATATAATAGGATTTACCATAAGACATCAAGTGACACAAGTCCAAGCAAGACACAGCCTGATGTCCCTGATGCCTAGAAGATGGAAGCTAGATGAGGTGGAAACTAGAACACAGCTGTAGGTTTAAGATACAGGATTGGGTTTCTCTAGTAGTACAACTCCCATGAATTTGGCAAAGTATTCTCCTTGCTTCCCTGGGTAGTTTTAATTGGCTCAGTCATACTGAAATACTTTTTGTTATAGTGGGAGACTGCATAGCACCTCTCTGTCCCATCCTATTGCATCCATCTTTTATTCATAGATCCTAAGCTACAAGTGAAGCAGGGAGAGCAGGGAGTGATTAGACCAGATTAGATAATTTATTTTTTTCATCAAGGCAATGTGTCTTCTTGTGGGAGAGAAAAGGAGTTGTATTTTCTAGTGGGAGTCAAAGGGAGTTGATAGAACTCAATTCACTTCTTCTCTGCTCCCTGCCAGTCTCTTGCTCTGGGTACTGATCTGACTGGTTCCTCTTTCATTTACTGTATCTCTGCCAATAAACCCAAAAGGAGAAGTTTACTTTCTTTAGGATGCTGCATCTTCTCTAGTTACTTCCCCAATGTCTGAAAGGGATGAGAAATCACTGGTCATTTTCTTTTTCTTTTTTCTGTTAAAGATCTATTTATTTTAGAGAAAGAGAGGGAGTGTGTACTGAATGGGGGGAGGGGCAGAGGGTGAGGGAGAGAGAGAATCACAAGCAGACTCCTCACTGAGTGAGGAGCCCAATGCAAGGCTTGATTCCCAAGACCCATGAGATCATGACCTGAACTGAAATCACAAGTCAGACACATAACAGACTGAACCATCCAGGAGCCCCTCACCAGTCATTTTTTAAAGCCTGATCTTCCCTTTGTTTTTAAACCCACGTATATTGGGCAGCCTGGGTGGCTTAGAGGTTTAGCGCTGCCTTCAGCCGGGGTGTGATCCTGGAGACCTGAGATCGAGTCCCACGTCAGGCTCCCTGCATGGGCCTGCTTTTCCCTCTGCCTGTGTCTCTGTCTCTCTCTCTCTCTCTCTCTCTCTCTGTGTGTGTCTCTCACAAATAAATAAAATCTTCAAAAATAAATAAATAAAATAAAATAAACCCACATATGAGTTGATCCATTCCAAAACTAAAGCTGACTTTGAATAATAGGTATTCAGTTTATAGACAGAGAAACTTGGAAAGATCTATTGGATTCAAAGCTCAGAATTTCAGTTCATCATTATCTAAACAAAGGGTCCCTGCTTTGATTCAGAAATGTTGTGCACATTTCTGAAGCAAAGCAGAAGAGAAGAGATAGCTTGCTTATCCCATTGGCAGTTTTCCAGCCCTTGCTCTCTTGTCCCCATCCCCCTTTGAAGGAAACTTGCTAATTGCTTTTTCTTCTTGCAGTATTTTAACTAATATATCTGACGTCCACCAAAGTATGGGCTACTGTCCTCAGTTTGATGCAGTTGATGACCTGCTCACGGGGCGAGAACATCTTTATCTTTATGCCCGGCTCCGAGGTGTACCAGCAGATGAAATTGAAAGGGTAAAAAATGGTTTCTTGTTGCCACTCAGGAGTTTGGTAAACCCTAAGCCTCTTTCATGAGAGTGGATTTATTTAGAGATGGGAAAGTTGGAGCATGCTGTCCACTCAACAAATGCTTTCTGTGTGTCTACTATATGCCAAATATTGTTGTAGAAGATGGAGGCTTAGCAGCAAACAAAACAAGAAAATCCCTGGCTCCATATTAAATAATATAATATATGCATTTACCCTTTGATTCAGCAATCCTACTTCTGGGAATTTACCCCAAAGATATACCTCCCACAGTGCAAAATGCATATGCACAAGGTTATTCATTGCATTAGTAGTCACAAAACACTGGACACTACCTAAATATTCAGGCATAGAACATTGGTTGAACAATTTATGGTATAGACACATAATAAATGCAGCTGTTAAACACATACACACATACACAGAAAATCTCTCTGAACTGATCCGGAGTTACTTCCAAGAGATATTGTTAAGTAAAAAAAGCAAAGGGCAAAAGAGCACATGTAGAATTCTACTTTTCTCCTCCACTATTTTCTATTTAAGTATATAGTTGACATACAATGTTACATTAGTTTCAGGTGTACAACAGTGCTTTGATAACTCCGTACTTTAAGCACTACCCACCAGAAAGGTAGCTACCATCTATAATATTATATATATATATTGCTATTATATAATATTATATATATATAATGCTATTATATAATATATATAATGTTATACAATATATATAATGCTATTATATAATATTTTATATATATATGTGTGTATATATATATATATACACACACATATATATATAATGCTATTATAACACTGTTGCAATGACAAATTTCAGGGCTGGGACAGAATAGGTATCAAATGAGCCTGGAACATCTTATTAAGCCAGAAAGTAAAGTGCTTAAAAAAAAAAAAAGAGGCATGTCACACCTACACAGGAGCCATCTTAAAGGGTGTCCTAATAACCAAACATGGGACAATTTGAACAGCAAAATAATAAATACCATGGTAAATTAAAAAAACATTGGGGGAAACATAGGAATTCCTAACTTCACGGTGTTAAATCGATAAATAAGAGCAAAGATAGTTCTTGCCTATACTCAAATGCTGAGAGCCAACAGATTAGCATGGAAGAAACTACAGAGTTGGAAAATCATTTTTCAGTGATCATAGTAAAGATTGGATTGCACAAGAATCAAGGGAAAATTTTTTATGAAAAGCAAGATATTTGTATAGCTAAGTATCTCCCACAGAATGCTTGTTGGTTGTGAGGGGAAAGCATAATACTTTCACAATGAAGAAATTAGACAATACCTTTAATTGGGTGATCAAAATTAACATCCCCTATGAGGGGTATCTGGACATGTCCTGCCCCTAGAGATGATACCTGAGGACACAACTTTTCCTGCATAATATTCTGATTGGGAATGTGTAACCTGGATCTTATCTTGAGAAAACATCAAATAAATTCCAAAGGAACATTCTATTAAAAAAAAATATAGGGACTGTACTTTTCAAAAGTATCAAGGTCACAAAAGACAAAGAAAGGCTATGGAAATGTTCCTGAGCAGAAGAACTAAGTAGACACAATAACAGTAATGGACACTAGACTGCATTCTGTGCTGGATAGTAAATAATGCCACGAAAGACATTACTGGGTGAGTTGGCAAACTGTGAAGGGTAGATGAGATGAAAGTATCAGAACAATGTTAAATTTACTGACGTTGATAGCTGTCCTGTGGTTATGTAAGAGTATTCCTCTCCTTAGGAAGTACACACTAAACTGTTTAGGAGAGAGGGCCACAGTATATAACTTAGCGGAAAAGGCTCTGAAAAAATCATGTGTGTGTGTGTGTGTGTGTGTGTGTATCCTTGCACATGTGCACATGCGTGCACGTAAGAGAGGGAGAGAAAAAGAGTGAAATGTTTATGAATGTTTTTGTATTATTCTTATTTTTAAACATTTCTGTAAGTTGGAAACTATTCCAAATAAGAAGTTAAAAGTGAAGCTTACATTCTAGTGGGAAGGACACATAATAAATAAGTAAAACATACTGTACATTTACGAGTGAAAAGTCAGTAAAGGAAAATAAAGTAGGGATGAATTGTTGGGGGAGGGACTGTTCTTCTGGTAGGGAGGGCACAGGGCCAGCCAGCATCACAGAGGAAGTGATCCCTGAAGACCTAAAGGAGCTTCCACAGTGTGCCATGTGGTTATCTAGGGGAAGAACAATCCAGGCAGAGGCACAAAAGTACAGAAGGCAGAAGCAGGGTGGGCTTGTCTCCAAAGACTTCTCTAGTCTTCTTCCTGTGCACATTTATACTCACACACACTTGGTATTCTTTATCATGATTTCCTGTTGATTTTCCTCAAAGCACTATTACAGTCTGTCATTCTGTTTATTTTGATTGTGTGTCTTCCCCCACTCCATCTGTGGGTACGACAGCAATGGCTGTGTTCACCATTATTCTCCAGTGCCCAGTACAGTGCCTGACTCATAGCAGTTGCTCGATAAGTGTGTATGAGATGTGTGAGACTTCAAGTGTGACCCTGTCAAAGGGTGGAAGCATCAGGCCTAAGACCCACCATCAGACCCTGGGACTCTTCCACCCTTATCCATAGTCTGGGACACTGGGTGAGAAGCACTGTCTTGGTCTTCATAAGGCTGAAGGTCATTTCTCTGGGGCAGCAGCAAGCCACACTGCTATGTAAGGCACAGTATTGAAAGGAGACATCTGGCCCCCCAGTCCAATAACCACCCCATGAGCCAGTAAGTAGCCTCCTTTCAGCCTAGCTGTGTCTGTCATCCTGCAGGTGTGAGATCTGGGAGTCCAAGACTGAATTGTGGAGGTTTGCTTGTTTGTCTTTCCACAGTAGGATTTCTTCCTCTTCCCTAGGTGGCAAACTGGAGTATTCAGAGCCTGGGCCTGTCTCTCTATGCAGATCGCCTGGTCGGCACCTACAGTGGAGGCAACAAGCGGAAACTCTCTACCGCCATTGCATTGATGGGCTGCCCGCCTCTGGTGCTGCTGGTGAGAGCCACCAGGACCTGTGGGGATAGATGGGCTCAGGGGCAAACCAAGTGCTGCATCTCTGTGGGTGGGCCAACAGATTTAGAACACGCAGCGATCTGTTTTCGTCTAGACTATTTCTTGTCCTGCATGTTTTGAGCAAATCAACCCAGTGTCTAGTTCACAACTCTTTGGGGGAAACTAGAGTCATAACATATACTTACTCTGAGCCCCTAGGAAGTCCCTTGTGGACCCATAGGCTCACAGCGGGGAAGGTCAGTCCCTCTGGTCAGATAGTAGAAGAAGTGACTTCTTCACTGCTAGAAGAAGTCAGCCTGGGATGGAAGAG